GAGGGAGACACAGGCAGGGGATCTGCACCTAGATATTGCATCCCATGTAAAGTTTTGCATAGGGTGCATCAATGGTTTCTGTGATGTGTTGTAATTACAAACCTAATGAAGATTTTATGGAACATTCGGACATTCAGTTTCAGAAGTCTCTAGTTTGACCTAATCTCCTTAATGCATTTTGGTTGGTTTGTTGTGCTTCAATAATTATAGTCATCCACAACAGTTCTGCATGCCAATGGGACCCTGTAGACGTGGATCACCTTAACTTAATAACTTTTATAATTCATCCTGGTTTCTAATCATAGATAACAGGAAAGCAGTCGTACATTATCAACTGCATTACTTCCCCTAAGATTATGCCAATTATTTCTGTATCACTGACTTTTCCCGCTTTTACCAACATTTCTTGATATTTACGGTTGGTCCAACATCGGAACGCTGAGTTGTTCTAATTTTTTTGAAATGTTTTTCAAAATCCACAGAAAAATGATGTCCAACTTTTCAAAGGCGACCACCAAGACGTGGCAAAGCAGGCAGAGGCTTGAGCAGCCATAAGCAATCATGAAAAAAAAAAACTCATCACGATGAAAACTTAGTTTGTGTTATTTTATGTGTAAACACCTCGAGCATCTCTTACGCTTCGTTCGTGCTCCCCAACTATCCGCGTGTATCCTGAATTGGATTGAAGCTCGCTAGACATTGTCCATTCCTTAACTTTTCCATAATATTTTAGCCAATCAGAGCGCGCGTTAGAATGTAGCTATGTTATAATATAGGATGCAACAGACAATTTTGAAAACATGTACTTTCGTTACCGATTGTCATTAAAGTTAAACTTAATTAAAGACGTTGTTAATTTAAGTCGGTAAGTTGGAGAGTTAGAGTTTGAAAGGGCAAAATATCTTGAACTGCAAAGGGAGAATTGCAAAGGATATCACGAGAGCTATAGAACCTTTTAGCTTTTTCCTCCTCTTCCTTCGCAAACGAAGCTACCAAACGTGAAGTTTGAAAACTTTTGTAATGTTATCAAGTTCTGGGATATAAAGACAAACATACTGGGTTCCAAGGAATAGAGATGAGAGCGGATCTATTTTTTTTCCTGGTAGGCTTTAAAGACATCTATAAATGTAGGTTTACATATTTCTGCTGATCAAGTGAAAAAAAAGAAAAGACATTCCAAAGGTTACGTCCGGATTTATCACAACCTGAAGGCCACGCGCCATCCTCCATTTTGCATTTTACTTTACGGTGATCTTTTCCTTTTGATATAATAAAGCCACGACAAGTAAACCCCGAACGCCATGTCAATTGCCATAGTCCGCTGTTCAGCTCACGTCTTTTTGTTTTGGGTATCCGTAATCCAAAGGGGAATACCCTAAACAATAGTGATTTGGGTACGGGGGTACCAAAAACACAGGGATAGCAAAACCACGGGAAAACCAAAAACATGGAGATACTCAAAATATGTGGATACCCAAAACACGGAAATACTCAAAACATGGGGGATACCCAAAACACAGGGATACCAACATCACCGCTGTGACTGTGACGGCGGGAAAATATTAGAGGTGATCAATCAGAGGACTGGTGATTAGGTACTCAGTACTTTGATTTCACGCAAAGAAGAAGAGGATTGATTTATACTGAGGAGGCTCGTATGTACAGAGGGGGCGGATTCGTTTTATAATGTGTGGCTGTGGCACTAGTGGGCCACCGTCCTAAACGTTTTCCCTTGCACCTGGTCGGTATTAAAACGATCTGTTTGTAATATGATTGGTACCGCTATTTAGATTGGTTCCCAATATTCTTATTCTTAAATACATGGATTCTTCTCGTCCGTTTCTTAGCCATCAGTGTTTTCAAGGGCTATAGTTACCTTGAATAAGATGCAGTTCATATTACCTATCTGGAGTGGTTCTCAGACATAATTATTCTTATTGTACGGTTACATTATAATCATGAATTTATTTACGATTTGCTAAACCCAATACAGTTGTAATAAACTCTTACACGACTTGTGTCTGCATGGTTAGCAGTGCGTATATCGAGCTATGTATGCACTTGGGAAGTTTGGAGAGCACCTTGGAAGCTAGAGTTGCTCTTAGCTGCGCCTTGCGCAACTCTCTCCTTTCTCTCGTGCTCTCCAAATATCCTGCGTGCATACATCACTCCGGATATAAACACGCCAATCATAAACCGATCCTTTAGTGTCGCACAACGCGTAATACAACGTTTTCCCGTGACACTATTGAATCCGGGTTTCTTTAAAGTCTCTGCAGCTGGCGTAGACTTTTCTGTTCCATTTCCACGCCTTCTCAAAGATTTGCCAGAGAATAAAGTTTTAGTCACTGTCCGAACGCAGAACACTGCGTGCTATTTACAAATGTCTTTCTCCAGGAGGGTCGTCGTGCATCCTTGTATGACCTTTCCGAACACTTATCCTGTGAGGTACGGGAATGTTATGTTGGCTCTTTATACTTCAGTGGACTAAGTACTTCAGTGCGGAAAATTACGTTTTTGTAAATAACTAATTGTATGTCACTCAATTTTTTTCACGGTACTTATGTTGCAAAAGTGGTTTATCACTTGGCCGATGAGCTCGCTAAGTCGAATAATTCTGATCAATTCCAAGCTGTTGAAAGTCATCCGCAGTGGCCCTAGGTTAGTAATGTCGTCATTCTTAGTAGGCTTGGGGAATCTGTTAAAATACCAGCCGCCTGTCGTGCCAAGAGCAATAGTCACTCAAATGTTATATCTGTTCAAATTGGACTGACCACGTGAGCGATTTTAGACAAAACCGCCCAGGGGCCTTTTTCAAGGGTGAATGTATTCTTCACCCCTGTGTTTGGATTGAATTCCACCAAAGGCTGTAGAGTTTTAGCTCAGCTTTTAAAAGGTGAGGAATAGGAAGCTTTTTTGTTCTTACATCAAGCAAGTATGAAATAGCGTACTAAGTGACAGATTTACTTGCATGGTTTGTGCGCAAACAGGAAGAGCTTTAGGACGGAAGTATTAATAAATTTTCTTCTCAGACATGTATAGAAATTTCGTTCATTAAACAAAGAGTATGTTCTATACCAAACTAGGCTCTTGTATTTGTAAACTAAGCACGTCGATTTAGCCAGATCATTTTGCTCAGTTTCAAACACAAAATCTGCGAGGTTTTACAGCTGTAATTTCCAATGAGTACCGTAAAATTAAGCCAAATATCAACTCTGCGGTAGAGTGTTTAACTCTTTTGCGGGCTTGTTCTGGATGAACGATTGTAATAGACGCGGAAAATTAGACAATGGTTTGTCCACTCCTGACTTTCTTTTCTTCATTGATCGAAGCTTTGACTGAGAGTTTGGTAGATTCTTGAACTTTCCTTTCATCATTATCGTGACCAATTTTATTCATGGTAGAATGGCTGGTCAGGCAAAATACCGGCTGTGTCATCGTACGCTTGGAGCTGTGTATCGAGAGAGAGAGCAGAAGAGATATCGTCCGAAAACGTAGAGACGACTTAAGCACGTAAAAGGATGTTAAAATCAAACTTATTCATATGCACTGTATCTTATGAAATCCATTTTGTGTAAATTATTGTGATGAAATCCATGTTGCAGAAACTCATGTGCGCGTAGTCAGATAATTAGTCGTGGTGATTTCATCATGTCATTATATATGCACTTCAGTCGTGAGTCTTGTCAATAGTAAAAGTCACGCAAATGTTGTCGACCACGTGAACGATTTTAAACCAAACGCTCTTTCTTGGGCTTTTGAGGTGCATATATTCACTAGTGTGTTAGGGCTGAATTCGACCAGAAGTCACAGAGTTTGAGCTCAGCTTCCATAGGTGAGATCTAGGAAAGGTTTTTAATACTTATATTACACAAGTATGAAATGATAGAGTCATAGAGTTACTTGCATGGGTTGTACACAAACAGAAATGGTTTCTAAAATCTCCTCAAAAGTTTTGTCGGAAGTAGTTATCGATTTTCTTCGTAAACATGTGTAGGAATTTCTTTTTCTTTAGACAAAGAGTATGTTTTATGCCAGACTCGATTCTTGTATTTGTAAGCTGAGCAGTTCGGTGGTTTAGTCCATTCATTTTGGTGAGTTTCAAACACAAAATCTGCGAGTTGTAAGTCCTTAATTTCAGAGATGAGCGCGCCGTGAAATCAAGTATCTATCAGGCTGCTGAGTGTTTAAGTTTACTCTTTTACTCGCTTGTTCTTGATGTACGACTGAGCTAGATGCGGAAAATTAGACAGTATTTCGTCAGTTCTTGACTATCTTTACATTTCCGTGTAATCATGCATGCGCCTCCAGTCTTATCTCAAAAGAAATTGCCAAAAGAAATTTAAATATGTCGCTTGGATGCAGATCGAAGTTCGTAAACAGTTTTTTTAACTGACTGTTGATTTGCATTCACTGCATGGTCGAGACCATGTTTCAGCAAAGCATGACTTTCTTAGGACACTTCTTATTCAAAGATACTCGTGTTTAATTAATCGAACAATTTCTGCGTTAGTTCAGTGAAATTAAAATTAAATTAAATTGCTATGGTTGTTGCTTTTTGGGAATGCGAGAATGGTTAATCACTTGGCCAAAAGTCTTGTTGACTTGTAATAACTTTGATCAAATCCTTGCTGCAAAAAAAACTATCAACTTGGAGTTAGCGCTTGTAATGTGATCATTAGCGAATTTGTTACGTTGTCTGATAGTGTCGGCCGCCTCGTATATGACCGACCAGGTGAGCGATTTAAGGGAGGCTTCCCGCCAATGCGTCAAAGTCGGCTTTCGAGCTGAAACTCAGCTTAAAAGGTGAGGGATAATTGCTTATACATATTTCAAGCAGGTTTGAAATATTTTAGTTTTCCATTTCCATACATAAACTTTCTACTTTCAAGAACTTCGTTTTAAGAAACCCATAAGACGAATGTTTCAGACGGAAGCATTTTCGATCTTCCTCGTAAACATTTCGAAAAATTCGTGCAGGAGATCATTAAAGAATGTCATATTTTAGACGAAGCTCAAATCTTTGTAGCTAATAGCGTCTTTTACCCAGATTAAAGAGTGCGGTTTGCCGAAATCTAGCGACGCTTTTAATGATAATCGTGGTGAAAACCTTTCGAACCAAAGACTTCAAAACTGTTTATGGAAGAAATGGCCACGGTTGATTTGTCCGTAATTTGACTTGAATACTAAATTTACCCGCATTTTTTTTGAGAGGTAGCTGCCATAGTCTTCTGAATATTGTAAGTTGCGTCTGCGTAAAGAGTTGTTAGGAATTTATATTTATGTTTTGTTTTGCCTATATGAAATGAACGAATGTAACGATGTAATGTAAAAGGTACATTGAAACTAAACCAAATATCAACTCTGCGGCAGAGGGTTTATAACTCTTTTGAGGGCTTCTTCGGGATTGACGATTGTAATAGTCGCGGAAAATTAGACAATGTTTTGTCCACTCCTGACTTTCCTTTTCTTCTTTGATCGAAGCTTTGACTGAGAGTTTGGTAAGTTCTTGAATATTCCTTTTATCAGTACCGTGATCAGTTGTTTTCATGGTAGAATGACTAGTTAGGCAAAATACTACTATGTCATGATGCATGATGCAAATGTTATCAACCACGTGATCGATTTTGGAGCGAACGCTCTTATACAGAGTATTCGAGGTGCATGTATTCCTTAGTTAGGTGTTGGGGCTGAATTCGATCAGGAGTTACGGAGTTTGAGCTCAGCTTCAATAGGTGAGATATAGAGAGAGTTTACTTATACTGATATCAGACAAGTGTGAAATCACTTAGTGATAGATTTACTTGCACGGACTGTGAACATCTTTTCTACAAAATTATTTCAAAAGTCAATGGCGGAAATATTTATTGATTTCCTGGCGGATCGGACATGGTGCGAAATTTCCTTCATTAAACACAAGTATGTGTTCTTTGACAGATTTGACTCTCACATTTGTAAGCTCAGCACGTTGATTCAGCAAAGTTATTTGTGTGATTTTAGATTCAAAATCTTCGAAGTTTGACTGCTGTAATTTCAGAGATGAGCATCATAAATTGAATTCTCACAAACGAGTTTCGTGTAGCAGAGTACCTTGGTTGAGGCTTCTTCAGCTAATACGGATCTGAACGACGCGGAAATCTGGTCAAAGATTCGTTGATTCTTGATTTTCCGGTGTTTCAAGATTACCATTGAATGAGAACATATGAAATTTTAAATATTCTCAATTTGTATCGCAATCTATTTGGTACAAAAATTGTACCTCCGCTGGGCTGGCGTAACACTTCCGTGTTATCTCACGCTTCTTGGTTGTCTCATAGGAAAAGAAATGGCAGAAAGGAATATATTTCGGTAATGAAGAGACGACTGAAGTTTGAGGACGACTGTGAGATTAACAGTCGATTTGCTTTCGCTGCATTATAGCCTATGAGTTTCAGAAAAGTATGACTTTATTTTGCCAATTGCTACATATTAACTTGCTCAATAGGGTAACGTCTTTGTTAGTGTCAGTTAAATTTCCTTCGGTTGTTTCTCTTTTCGGATCGCGAGAATGGTAATCACTAGGCCAATAATCGTGCTAACTTGTAATAATTGCGATCAAATCCTGGCTGCATAAAAAAACCATCCGTGTGGAACTTGTCGATCACATGTGATCATCAGAGAATCTGTGTTTGGTTCACCACATTTCAAGTCAATAACAAAAGTTGTGATCACGTGAGCGATCTCATCATAAATGTGGCGTTCGACATAGTTATTCCCGCTTATTTGACGCTTATGCGGCAAGATCGAGTGTGATCAGAGGCCGTTGGGCTGAAGCTCAGCTTTATAAGGTAAGAAATAAGAGTTAATACGTATTTTAAGAAAGTATGAAATGATTTAGTGCTACATTTCTATGCATAAACCTTCAACTTGCAAGAACTTCGTTTTTAAGAAACTCTCTCAAACGAATGTCTCAAACGGAAACATTTTCGATTTTCCTTGGAAACATTTCAAAAAATTTGAGCAGCAGATCATATAGACGCAACTCGTATATTTGTAGCTCAGCACGTCTTTTGAGCTCCAACATTGCGTCTGCTTTGCCGAAAACAAGGGACGTTTTTAATGATAAGCATTGTGAAATGAATTCAAATGTCTGGAACGAAAACTTCCGAACTAAAGACTTCACAAATATTCATCAAGAAAAAAGTTACGGTTAATTTGTCCGTCGTTTGACTTATACTAAATTTACCTGCATTTTATTGAGAGGTAGCTGCCACAGTCTTCCTGAAAATGTAAGTTACGTCTGAGTTTTTGAGTGAATGTGACTGTCAGGTTAAAACAATCATTCCGTTGTGTTTAATCTCTCATCGTTTAACAATTGGTTTCATCAAAGACTGACTTTTAACAACTCATTTTCAATTCACAATTGTTTCCTCGCCAAATTGTATTTGCTCGAGGGTCACCATGATCGGTGGCTGAAAAATTGGGTCACATGACTAAAACCACGCGCGCGCGCGCACACACACACACACTGGCTTTAGTGGGCCAGTCATCGTGGGATAACTTTCGTCGTGAAAAGGCATCTTCCTCCATCTATTGTAGTTTTTAAAAGCCTACTAGCACCTAATGCCCGGAAAATTTTAAAATGCAAATGAAAAACAAATTCCGTTGGTAAAAAGATACATTTCAGGTCAAAATCTTTTAGCATTGTTTTGGTGAAAGGTAAACATCACTTGATCATCTTTCAAAGCAATTATATAGGTACTAAAAATCTCAAATATTGGACCAGAACAATGGCTGGGGACAGTAGAAGATTGGTACAATTAAAGCACTTCTCCACTGTCAATATGAGAAGTGGGGAATTTTGCAAGGTACCAATTCCAATGCTGTTTCCTACTGGACTTAGTTGTGTAGAATCTCATCTGAAAACTATACAGTAAGTTTTTACAGTACGTTGTAATGTTGCAAGATTATCATCATATAAACTATTTGAAATGCTTTAAAGACTTAAGCAAAATTGACATATTTCCTGTAGCCCGGTACTACCCTAAACAAGGCCATTGTGACAAAGGTTATCTATCGTTTTCCTCATTGTTTAAATTTTTGTCAGTAATTAATAGAGAATTTTATGAACGATGAAGTATAGAGGTATACGGAAATCTAGCTTAATTTCTACATAGCACTGGCTAATATTCTATGAACATTCTGTGTGACAGCATTAGAAAGTAAAAGTACAAAGTTATGGCTAAAAGGATCTGGTGGGCTAGTTTCAATGGAACCCTCAATAACGTGTGATTCCAAGGGCTGCTACATAGTAACAATTTGTCCTCAACAACTGTATGTTTTTCAATGCTCAACTTTCAGTTGTTGACAATTAAGGAGTCTTCTTTTCTAAAGAAGGAAATGGTTGCTGAGGTTTTGGGCAGTTTTTTTTTCTGTCTGCCTCTTGCTCACTGCAAGACTGCAAGATATGACACAATAATTATTGTTCTCTTGTCAACAACACATACTCAGTCTAGTCTGTGCAGTAGGTGCACTGGACTGAATTAGTTGTCAATGACATTTGCTGTCAATATGAAGTAGTT